GCCATTACACATCTTGATGCGATTATCGAGGAATTTCCGCCTGATGCCGTATTGAAGTACGTGTTGAACGCTGATGAACCTGTCAACTAAAGGGAAATAGAATGGGCGTCCCGCTACGTGACATCCGTTGTCATCGGAACCTGACAAAACTGCTACTCGTTAGTTAGTAGATAAAAACAGCCTGAGTAAATCGCAACAAAATTTACTTAGAGCCTTGACTTGTCCTAGGCGAACTTCAAACAGCTTTCAGTCATGTGAAAGGTAAAGAATCAAATGACCAGAAGCTGATTTAAAATGAGAAGTGGTATATTTCATATAATGTTATCTACAAGGTACCTGGACAAGGTTCATTTACAACATAATATTTTTTTTTATATAGGCCTTGCACATATGTACGCACAGTGGAGGCAAACAAATATTTTCTTTGTTGCTTTTGTTGCTAGTCTATCTCAAATATATCCATATGATTAAAGGAGGTCTAGTAAAAATAGTTTGTAACGGGTGCGATTGTAAACGTACCTTGCCGATTCGCAATTTCACCAGCCGCTTATAGAACTGGCTCGAACCAATTATGTGTGCCGTGTCTCGCTATGATGCTGCCTGCGTTGTCATAGCTCGTTAACCGTTACCCGAACTTGTTTATGCGTAGGCCGACTGTGTCACTCGTTTTAACTGTATTCTATGTAAGTCAACAGGCTACATGTTGTTGCTGCGATCTCGTACTGTGAGATACTGTGTCCAAGATAAAAACAGTGGCATATATGGAAAAAGGCATTCGTTTTAATGGTCGTGTAAGTGCGCTGTTGTTCTCTTCGGTTGAGCGTCAGCAATGCTGAAACTTGCGCAATAATTATATGTAATCCTTGCCTATGCACGTCTTGGATTCATTCTTCAGCATTGCCTATGAATGCTCATGCGCATTGTATTCAGCCACTCCCAAACAGTTAAACGATGCTTCGCGATGAAGGTGCGCCAACGTTCACTGAACATCCACTGACCGCAGGCTCGAAACACCATAACCGCTTCAACCTAGAGTACAATTGAATACGGCTGCAGTGATCATATAGGAAATGAACGGGATTGTTGTCGGAACCCAGAAACCGTTCAGTAGTATGTGAAGCGCTCCGCATATGTGAACGCCAATGCTCCATATGTATGTTGGTTTGGTATATTCTCGAAAGGAGAGGAGGGAATTATTGGACTGTGACACATACACCAATTCGTACCCACCCGTCGTGTTTCCCGCCTTCTGCTGATGCAATTTTGGCTGACGAGCTTCTCGACTCTTGTTGCAGCGAATTGGCGACCCGGGTTACGAAACTTCGCCGGAGACGAACCAGCCCATGATTCAGCCAATCGCTGGTTATCGGCCTGGCTGTTTCCTCAGTTGCAACCCTGTCTTGAATCCGTCTAGCCTTTTGCTGCAGTGTCCAGAAGCGGACATCGTGACGAAAAAGTGCACACTTCCTAGTTTTGCAAGTAAGCAAATTCTGAAAAAGCGCATAGTAGATACGTAGTCTGGGTTGCATGCGGAGAACCCGAATAGCGCAATCTGAAGCAAACGAGGGGGATCGCTCATAGGCGGCGGCAACGGTACGTTTCTTCAATGATAGAACGGCTTGCGCGCAGAAAGGTCTGTTGTTACTATCAGTCCAGCAGCATTGCTCTCGTCGGCATCGAGTCTGTCTGGAGCATCAAACGAACGCACTACTCAAGCTGCATTATTGTGGACTTCGTACACCGACTGGTCAGGTCTCAGTCGGCCATGGATTGAGGCGTTCATGCAACAGCCTTGTCCCCTACCATTGCAGTTCGATCGATAACTGCGCCCCACACAATGCCTGCTCGATCAGCTACGTAGAGACCGCTGAAAGATGACAGCATCGGAGTAGAGGCGCGGTGGTCTTGATGGCGCTTAATAGCGCAAACAGCAGCAGCAGCAGCAGCCGCTCCGGGCGTTCAGAGCTGTAGAGAAAAATCCAAATGACCAGACTACATACCGTCACTGAGCGAGCGCTCCGGTTTACGCTGAGCGAAAGAAGAAGAGACAGGCATGCATTATAGCCAGAATAGGAACTACAGAGCGAAAACTTCACAATGTTCTGCAACTAACGTAGTGTCTGATTAGCTCTGATATGTTCTTCCGTGGAAAGTGTAGTTCCTGACTGAATCCTCTAGCCAATAAACTTACGTAAGAATGAAATCCTATGGGAAGTATGCTGTTTTCCAATAGTCAGTAAACTGTAATTAGTCGTTCTACTGGTACACTCGATATTGCAGATACAAACTTGGGGCAACGCCAGTGACGCTATCTAACCCAGGGTAGGCAAATCGTTAAATCAGTTGAATGTAGGAAAGGCCCCGTGAGGAACTCGTGAGATGCTATAAAGGTTGCAGTGGGTGGCGAAGGCGGGATACGAAGCTGATGTTTCATCCGCGTAGCGTTTCTCCGGTTAGCAGAAACAAGCTCCATCTGGTGATCTACTAGCATCTCTACAAAATGAGCTGTCTTCAGTCCGAGAACGTCCTCCAACCTAGTTGTCTTTCTTTCGAATCAGAGTAAAGAAAGTTCGAAGGCCTGAGAGTGATATCAAAGTACGGGCTAGGGTTTTGTGAATTTTAAGTCTCGTCTCATCCATCGATGGTTCGAGTGTTCATTCTTCACTCTACCGATAAAGACTGTGGTATAGTATCTATGAACTGGTTGCTTTGTTATATAATCATAAACATCTTAAACAGTGCTTGTTATAATAGATTATTCTAACAATAGGTGGAAATCCTACGATCGCGGGATAGGGGCAAACCTTTGGTGTAATTTATTACTGATTAACGAAAATTTCCAATGGATGTTGGCAAAAAGAAGATTGTCATCTATGCTTTGATATGCCATAAATCAGTACCTATAGGAATTATTTATTTATTTGCCACATTGACTTTCTTTGTTAATGTAAGGATGTACTACTGGAACAAACTATAATTCCGATATAACGCATGCTATTTTGTAATGTAACATATCTATTCATAGAACACAATAAATGGACGACTGAATAATGTCATCGTCTGTATATTTCAGACAACAATTGCATCATTAAAAGTCCATTAAAACGCCATGAAAAATCTACGACAATGAGAGATTTATTAGAGGATGATTAAAAAACGATGGAACTTATTCAAGTACCGAAACACAGATCACAGTACAAAAAAGCGGAAAAAAAATTGATAACAATTCAACATATTATAATCGGCTTTTGCAAGCATCTGTTTTATCAGGACCCTAGGATCTGCGCTAAGCATACTTGCTGTCCGCGTAGACTATGTATTTCCAACGAACACGAATGTAAAGAAATCTAGGTCGACAACGCCACTGAACTATTTGATTAAAAGTGGTCGTTGAGCGTCCCTGAACTTCACTCTCGCCTACAATTAACCCTGAGCTTCTCTCCGATCGGTGCTTCGTCTATTCACTGTCGATATACTATCGGGATACTATAGCCCATTCAGAGGCGCTCACCACCCCCGTGCTTTACATACTGCTGCCGTTCACCTAATTCAATGGCGATTTGATCTGCTCCCAAGACGCAGTGTCCAGCCTGGTTTTTCTTGTTCTACTTTGTCGACTCACCTAAACCCCAACAAATGGAGGATCCTCCAAACCCCCTGGACGATTCACTTCACTTGTCTATGAATCCTCAGTGACCTATATAAGTCTCGCGCGAGACACGCTGAAGCGATAGGAAGAAATATTCATGCATATAAGCTGTATTTTTGGCAAAAAAATAGTTTTGATCTGCACAAATCTCATAGGTGAAAGATACAAACGAGACCTACATAGTTACATTGCAGTTATTAATTATACTCCGCGGTGTTAATTGTATTACATCCAGATGGGAATTCGATTTAACTGAAGAAGAAACTGCTTTCAGAAGCAATCAAGATTCGGCTGTACGAGATGTATTTTTTCTAAATGTTTAACGAGTTCAACTAAAGAAACGCTTCCATTCTCCATTAGGACTTCACTAGATTTTGGCTTATTAACTGAAATACTAAATTTCCTAATAAGTAAAATCGCAAATTTCAGTAAAAAAATTGCTACACTATATTAATTAGCCAACATAGTCGAGATAAATTTCAATTCTTGGGGTGTATATATATACTTTTTTTTCAAAAGCGCTAAACACTGCTTTTCTAAATACCAATTTTTGACCCGGAACTAGCGGACGGACTGCTAAATCGCTCGTTTACCTAAACGAGTATGTCTTGCTGTTATTTTCGTAAATTAAATAATTTAGTACAAATACGGTATTGGTATTGGTGCAATTCAATTAACTGGTAGTCATGTGCTAAGAAGGTAGCTGTTCAAGCAGACCGCATCATTTACTCTTACTTACTTGTACTCTACTGAAGAAAACAATCAAATATCTTTGTTGTTGAAGTTAATTTAACTTCAGCTTAACTTTGAGATATCGCTCAGGAAGACGACGGATCGCCCACCGATAGTCGTAATCCGGACACTTTGATGATACTTGGTATCAGTTTTACGCCACCAATAGACATTGAATTGACCGCGCGAATGATATTTATTTGTATTTTGAGACATGTGTTTGAGGAATGACCAAACGATTTAAAAACGGACTGATGTTATTCATTTGCGGAGACCACCAACGTGTCTCTGAGTTAATGCTCGGTGATCAGATGTCTATAGTAAGTTACCATTTGCTACGAGAATTTAATCTAGCCCCAACTTATGCTAAGAGGCACTTGTTCTGTTACAGTTATATATGGAACTTGTTACATGATGTTATATGATGCTGAATTTATTCGGATTCAAATGTTCACTGCGAAAAGTCGTTTACAGTTGGTGTATTTACCTATTTCTAGGAGCATGTTGACATATACTTCGTTATCTAGCATTTAATAACTGTGCCGGTTCGGTCATCTGTATTGCGCTCCTGATGAAGACAACTGCGACTAAATAGACTGATTATCATCTAAAATTAGTTCGAACTGCATATGTCTTGACAATAACAAAGTTAAACAAAAAAGATTGCTTAGGCCAAAAGGCTTGTCTCTCTGTTGGGGCAGCCGGTGTTCTAGGCCCTCGGCAACGAGAACAAAGTCATACAAATTGTACGTACATTTAGCGAAGTGTGGAAATTGTTGTAGAAACTTGTCGACGGGTGAAGGCTTCATCCCTTCAGCGATGTCGTCAAGTAGGGATAAATCAAACACGACCGAAACTCCCGCGAAGTCCGCTGCTAGCACACCTGCCGGGAGCAAATCAAAGCCGAACAGTAAGAGCCATGTTCGGTGGGACGAGGAAAATATCAAAGCAACCTATCATCCGCCCGATAAGGTATCGTGCTAAGTTTCGCGTATATCATTTACTGCCCTGTCCAGTTTGTAGTCTAGAAATTGTGTGTTGGCGAGCGCGTGCCTCTGTTTATGCTGCTTAGTTATGATGAACCGCGTACAGTGACCAATTCAAGATGTCTTGACATTGGTTTACCGTGCACCGAATGTCAATGTAGAGGGTAAACAATGTACTGTAAACCGAACGTCGATGGTGGGACGAAGGCGATATCGATGAAAAATTATCTTGAGTAACATATTTTATTATGTAAATCATGAAAATGTTATTACTATTACTATTTGCGTATATCCAATTAGCCTTTGCTATGATGTGGACGCCATAGCAACAAGCAAGTGCTTCCAGTATCCAGCGGTAGTTAATTCCAGCCCTGCGACCCAGTATAACCCGTTTAGACCATAAGAAAACCTGTAGTTTAATACAATCCTGTTTTCTTTTCTACATGTAAAACGTTACACGTGTACGATGATGTGTAGTAGGTTGGTTTTTTCCTTTGTATAAAAAATATCTATTGGCAGCGCTAATCTCCACAGGATTACGGGTTCATGACAATCGACGAGCCCAAAACGCCGTACGAACCCACCAAGCATGATAAGGATTGGGGTGTCAACATGGATGAGTTGCAAGAGAAACTGGAAAAGATGCAGCGAAACTCCAAGGGGGGCGAGGTAAGTGATGTGATACGTGTTTTACATTTCCTCGTGCACCTTTCGGGGTTGTCTATCGATAGCATGTGTCTTCGTATTATTTTTTGATGAATACCTTAAATGTAAAGAGACTATATAAAGCTTGTTATCGAGTGCAATGACTGTGCTCTCGTGTTGATCCTTATAGAAACGTAGTTCGTCCTTCCCTCTGGTGTCGATGAACCATTTACTTATCCAAGCTTTTCCTTCTATACACAAAAGTGATACTATTTTGGGGCATCGACGAACATTGTCGTCAACAATGACCAATGTTGCGGAATCGACAACGAAATGTTGTTATTAATATCTACAAAACGATATGCTGTACGATTTTCTAGATGTTATATTGTATGGTAGCGATTACTAAGTGCTTGTTTTTCGCCCTTCGGCCAAACAGAAAGGAAGAAAAGAGACGTTTGAAGAAATGAGGCGGAAGCATTACGCTGGCATGGGCAAGCTTGCCATGGAGAAACACGACCCGTTCGTAGAGGAATACCTCAAACGAGCGGAGAAAGTCATGAAAGAGAGAAAGACCGACGCCAAGGGCGCGGCAAAAGAGAGCAAGCCACCGAAAAAGGAATAAAACGACCAGCGACATCTGTGATAGGTATCAATAGGGACCAAACTGGGGCTGACAGCACAATAAAAAATTGATTTTATACTCGAAGTCTATGAGTCTGTAAACAAAAACCAGCTGAAACAGACGAGCTCGGACTATGTCGCATTGATGACTCTTTGTCTGTACACCTCATCATTGCCTTTCTGTCCATGAATCATGCCTGAGGTTACCATGCATGCCATATAATTATGAGAAATATCGATTGGGGCCTGTAAATTGAAATGTGAACACGCGTGTTTCGTTTACACTGTATCTCTTTTTGAAAACGTTGTATATTTGCTTATTATGAAAAATCTGAAAGACAAATACGTGATCTTTCATACGCATATAGAAGCCTACTTCATACTTTAGAGCGGAATCATAGAAATCTTTATTTCTAACTATTAACGTACCCCGAGTTTTATTGGTTATTCCAGCTCGTCATAATCGAATTAATGGCCGCGTTCTTTCTGAAAACGTTCTTATAATGGTTCTTACAACCATGTGTCGTGTATTTGCGTACTCCGTATGAATCAGTCTATCATAATCCTCAAAACGGTTAATGCAATAATCTCTCCAGATATATTTTGCTTCCTATTTCTGTACTTAATAATTGTCAAGATATGAATTGATTGAGAGTATATATATATTTGTGCTATCGACAAATCAGCAGATTTGCTGGTGTTTGTGTGCAGCATTATAGCCATATGACTGTTTTGGAACGCGTAGAAAACAACAAAATGAACCATATCTACATGTCTCCTAAGGATTCTCATCCATGTTCTTACTGAAAATTACATTTTTTTTTCTTTCTATAAAGAGAGATGTTATTAAGAAAAACTTTAGTGCGTTGTTTTCCATTCGCATAATCAGGTAGCACTCATTCACAGCTACGAGATAGCATCTGCAAATGGTGTGGGTAAACAGATTTCGATATGAAGCTGGTGGTTTTAAACCTATGCGCGTAAAATGGCCAACAGCTTGGCCCCAAACCAAAAGTAAAATAATCGGATTCAGGCTTGAAGATACAAATTCAAATACGAATTCCGAATTCGTTGAACTTTGTAACAACAATCTTATGAATTACTCAGGGAAGCAATCAGGGGAGATGGAGGATAGGTCTACTTTGAATTAGATTACACGAATTAAACTACCCCAGTTACCGTAGTATTCAACAGCTGTTTTGTTTGCGCTAAATGCTTTCACTCCAAAAGAGCCTATGCATATCACGTATTATTTTTCAATGATGTCATCGGACAGATTTTGAGCGGCGTTTCTCCACGTTATAGAAATTGTTTCAAGAATGTAACGTATGGTCGCATCCCATATAAAATGAAGCGCGCCACTCACATTATTTACAGCTTCATGATCAATATATCTTAATATTAAATTAATGATACTATTCTGTCAAATTGAAACTTTGCTAGATTAATATCATCGCGGAACTCGCTATAAACTCTTATCTATTCTATAGTAAGGTAGCCGTAACAACAGCAAAAAAAAAATCGTAAACGGTCAACTTTTTTTAAAGCAAATAAAAAAGTTGGTGGGAGCAAACGTTTCACCTTCATCTTGCGCATTCTCGATTTAGTAGTTATCCATACATGCGGATATCCGAGCAATTCAACAAAACGAAAACTAACACATTGTTGACAGCAATTTTTATGAGGCTTATTTCATCTTATTCTTTGCTCTAAAGCTTATAGTATCTACCTGTCATGGAGTTGACGCTTTTCGTCGCCTTGTTGCGGAAGATTAGCAGCCTATCTTCTGCTGCCTTCTGGTATTTTTCAAGTTTTTGTCATATTTTAATACTAGTCATGGTTTTCCTAGAACAAAAATTCTGGTTTTAAAAAATGCCAGCTTTGAATTTCGAGACTAAAATGGCACTGCAGATACTCTCACAACCCTTATTTATCTACATTATCTTCTAAGCGTAATTAAATAATATGCACTATAGAAAAAAAGAACCGAATTTTATTATTAACGGAAGTTCATGGTAAGTATATAATACAGTTCCAATATAGAACATAAAAAATAATGCAATAATTTTTTTATTTGGGCAAAAGGCAGATCTTCCGTCTATCAAAAAAGGCAATCTATTCAAAGACCCTTTTCAGAACATCCGCCCTTTATCTTCGGATTGCTAATTCCCCAAACCATACTCCGTGGATCCAAACAACTATAATACGATGGTAAAAGCTGTGGTCTCTTTCATACACGAGCGAGATTGCCATCTCGCTTCAAAGGGCTTCAAAGATTTTTTGTCCAAGGTCTTTCAGAATTCTTCGCGTTATCAAAGCCTCATGAAGTCAAATTTTGCCATGCAGCAAGGACATTCGGCGTTGTCCATTGTCAACGTTTGATGAGCAGGGTCAAGTAGCACCCTCCATTTATCATTTTAGAATGTCCCAAAGCCTAAGCACCCCTTGAGATCGCACTAACTGTTAGTTGTTCATGGAAACTTATTTGGGTCTAAACTTCTCTTTTTCACCTTTCATCTTTCTTTCAATAAGTGTAAAAACCCACTTTTCATGCTTCGTGTATAAACTTCTATATCTTCTATTTTGTCAGCAACAATATGTATGTAATTGTGATTGATTTTGTCTTTTTTTATTGCACGTAGTATAATCCCTGGTGCATGCTGGCGATGTCTGCCAGTAGGGTAACTAACTCCTACCTGTGCAAAGGCCACTTATCGGGATTTTCACGCAATAGGGCCTGTGGAGCATCGTCACTCGCTCTTGCGGCCGTCTCTAGTATGCCTTAGAGGTCAAACAGAAATTTGCAACTCTAAGGTGCTGAAATAACTTTAAGCGAACGATGAACACTTGTATTAACTTTTAATTAGTTCACAATCCTAGTTGCAGAAGCCGTATACTTCTTACCAACAAAGCGCTACGGAAAGCACTGTTGGGTTACGCAGTTTTCCGATAACCCAATTTGATTGCCCAGAAAAGTGACACAAACAAGCCCTTGCGAAACATAAAATGTGGCAAAATAGTTTAAACAAAGAATGATCTAAATGGAATTAAACAGCATGTACGAATAGCAATGTTTGACAGTTGCCGAAGTCACATTTCTTCATTGATTTTTTTACACTAAGACTAATTGCTTAACAGCTAATATCAACTTATTACGAAATCACAAAGCTGAAAAGATGAAGGATGAATTGTAAGTAAGAGTTGCGTTATGTGTGTTCTAGCTATAGGTCAATCAAAGCCTGCTAAGGAATTCTAGAATCTGCGATGTGAGCGAGTTAATAACCCCGTTTATGGTAAAATGTTCCACCCCCAAAGATGATATGCGGTTCCACCGAAGACTAAGCTGTCAAATGTATATTAAAGATAAATTGTATTTAAGGCACGTATTCTCCATGAACTTTGCACGGCCTAGTGCTATGTACGCATATATATATATATATATATATATAATTTAATTGTGGTCGCTACCGAACCTATCATTTTTTAATTCGGTAGTCGCAGACGATGTCAGAGTATTTGCGTGTGCGCATCGTCGAGCGTCGACAACTTCACAAAACTAGCGATAATCGTACGACCTAGTTAAGCATAAGACGAGCATAAGAAACTGGCAAGGTCGGGTTGAAAGCGCGGACGGCCCTAGGCCGTTGTCGGGATACACCATGAATAGCGCGGTCGACTGTTACGGCTCGTATCGATAATCCCAGCAATTTCACTTGCTATCACTATATAAGAACGAAGTGTTGCCAGCATAAATCTTAAGGTTTGCGTAAGGATGACCTTATTTCCCGTCTAATTGTTTCTATTTAAGCTCTGAATATTTAATGCAAAATCCTGATGATTGAAAGTTTTGCAGCCCGATCATGGTTTTGACGCACATTATTACAATGATCCTAGTTAATCATTAAATCATTCCATGGAATACACTGTCCGACTTAGCAGACAAAGCCGGACACAGATGAGGCCACAGCCAAACGTATTTCTTCAGAATCCGCAGTAAAAACAGCAATGGCCAAAGCCCTGACTAGCCAGCTAATTAAGCAACAAGCGTCGAGACAGATACGCGGCCTACTCACGCCGGGTTCAGCTGTTTGCTTCTTCTACATCATAATAGAGAGAGCTCTGACGTAGACCCTTATTCTCGCACCTGCTAGCTGATACCGTAAGCGATGCCTGTTGTTTCCTGAGTCGTACCAAAGGGGTCGAGGCAAATGAGCGCGTGTGGTGCCCATTTGGGAAAGAGGGAGCTTGTAACAGTATATTAATATTAAGGTGCGACGCGCGTCGAGGCCAAGTAGCAAACCATATTGGCAGATACAATTATATTATATTGATACAAATAATTGCTCTATCCAATAGAATGAGTAATGCATGAAGGTAAGTGAATTGGTGTATTACATGAGCTATGGACGCGAACCTCATTGAACTAATAAAGCACAGGCCACAATAATAAATTTTATTTAATGTGAACGGGAAAGTTGTCAAATGACTTCTGTGATTTAAATTATGTACAATTTTCCCCAATGTATTTCACGACCCCGTCTTCACTATCGAAAGCGTTGTGATTTACTAGTACGAGAGCCTTCAATAACACACAAAGCTTTGTACTGCAATATTTGTATTTGAGGATTGTTCATATAGCAAGCCGCTTATGCAAAAATAAATTTTTCAGAGCTGTTACGTAATTCTCCTTTTATTGATACTGCCTAGGAAATCCGAGTACCCCATATTTTTTTTCATAGTTACTGCTACGTAGCTAACTTTTGGCACATCCCTTTGACAATTGAAGACGGGTTGATTTTACGTAATTTGTTTAAACTTTAATATCGCTGCAAGCCTAGGTGTGGTGTAGTTCGCAATAATATGATGTCTATCAGCCTAAAAAGTCCGCATGTCCTTTTTTCTCATCACTAACTATTATTTCTATTCAATTTGTTTACATTTATGGTATCCTTGTGCAGCAATTTATATGTTTCCGACGTTATAAAAACGAAACGTTACTGTGTCAGTACTGCACAATGTGTGTACATATGATATCCGTATTTTTGATTACCGGTTTTAACTATATATATATATATATATATATATATATATATATATATATATATATATATATATATATATGGTTATAGGGGTATACATTTAGCAAGCTTTCTCTACCGTGATAACACTCAAAAGAAGAAATATAGGTAACTTTCAGTATCTATGATCTTCTTCCTCCATTTAGAAACAGGAAAAATTCTACTATTTAACGAACCCCAGTAGCTACACGTACATGAAACTAAGCCTTGATGTTTCTATGCGTGAGCACTCGTGCTTCCTACCTACAACTTCTTTTCTACTGACACCGGTAGGCTTGCAACTTCAGTAAATGATTGATTACGCTATTTCGCTGTATTTGTCTTTTTACCGAGATACTATGGCCTCCGCAATGCTACTGTGTATCATCATTTATTGTTTCTCGTATCGGTCGTCATAAGTTACACAGAGATATCAACACTGGAGTCTGCAACACAAGTTAATCTCATCGAGTTACCAATTTGGCCACGCTTGTCGGACGGGGTGTCCTCATCCCGTGCCCATTATTACCTGAGTAGCTAGTAGGTTCGACTTCACGTCGCGCTACACTTTTGGGGACGTCTTCAAATGCCTGTCGGGCAGGACTTAAAAGGGCACTAACAAACCACGCAATTCCTCGCTTCGAAAGCTGTCGAAGACGTTCTGCATAAGCACATGGTCACAGGCTCACA